GGACCATCACCATGAACATCATCACTCTCGACAATCATATCATCTTCATGAACAACCCACTCATCATCTGAAGGAATTTCATCCATCACCAACGGATCTTCCTCAACTTTCAATGATGCTTTCTTCATCCATTTACTTTTCAATCTTTTGTTGTACATCACGTAAACCATTTTATTCAAATTCTTGGTATGCAAGCGATTTCTCTTCTTCGTATGGATCTACAAATTAAATATGTGTAAGTCGATGGATCACAAAACAAAATGTAGGTATGTCGATATGTATACCTGATTAAGTGTGCTCCAATTTCTTTCACACGCAGATGACGAACATGTAAGACTTAAGATTCTGATCGCACATGCCATTAGTTCAGGAGTCTCATCTCCATATTGGGTCCACCAATCAACTATATTATTTATAAAAAAAGAATTTAATAACAATATATATATATATATATATATATATGTATGTGTGTGTGTGTGTATATATATATATATATATTATTTAAAATCGATAATGATATTTGGTAAGAGCAATTTACTTACCAGGACTCCGTTTATGCACAGTGTTTTGTGCAACGTCATGTCCAAAGAATCCCCGCTTCAGTCGAAAGTCATCCATTTGCAAATGGAGTTTTTCTTGGATTTTTGGATCTGGAAAAAGCTTAGCCATACATCTAAATAATCCTGCCTTCACCTCTGGATTTGTAGACATTTTTGGATCATATTGAAAGCGAGGATTGAGGTAATATGCTGCAGCGTGCAAATCCCGATGCAATTGTAATTCCCACCTCTTATCAATTATTTTCCAAATCTCATTATAAGAGCCAAAGTCCCGCCCTAAATTCTCAGAAATTTCTTCCTTTGCTCGATCCATACAACCATATAGAAACCCCATACCGGGTACCATCTCTGAATCTGCCATTCTCAACACTTTAAATAATGGCTTCGTTGTTTGGACTGAATACTGCACGCTCGGCCAGAAATATTTATCACGCAGAATTATTTGTTTCACAGCTTTTGCCTCTTGTGTTTTGGATAAATGGTGTGCATTCCATTCCTTTTAAACACACATTTCCTCCAAACGCTCTTTAGCATACTTTCAAGTGTAAGATAGGCCGTACCAAACCTTGTTGCCGCAGGACGAACAAGATCTCGTTTGGTAAACTCTCGCATCAATGCCAATGACCATCCGTGATTATATATGTAATGAGTCACCTGCCATAGTTTATAAATATAATATAAGATAATGATAAGGTAATTGAATGTTTGGTTGGAAAAACATTTTAGATTGAAAAAATAAAATGCATTACCTTCTTTGCTTTCACCAATGCATTCTTGTGTTGAGGAAGCTTCCCAATATCCTCAAGCATCAAATCAATATAGTGTGCCGCACATGGTGTCCACCACAATCGCTTTCGTTTTTCAGATAACATCTCACCGGCAGCCTTGTAGTTCGAAGCATTATCAGTAACAATCTGAGTCACAATGTCTTCACCTACCTCTTCTACAACCTCATCAAATAGATTGCACAACAAGTCTGCATCTTTTACATGACGAGAAGCATCAACCGTTTTTAAGAAAACAGTTCCATAAGGATTGTTAACAAGAAAGTTTATTAACTGTCTTCCTCGCATATCTTTCCACCCATCTGAAAGTATGGAGACCCCGGTTTGTGTCCACGTCTTTTTCACGTCATCAACAATTTTTTGAGTCGTTTTTACCTCTTCATCCAAGATCCAGTGGCTCAATTCATACGGTGTAGGTGGCTTAAAACCCCTGCCAAAATTACCAATTGCACGACACATGTTTATGAACGAAGGAGAATTTGCAACATGAAATGGAATACCATTCTCAATATAAAATCTTCCCACATCTAGGCAAACTCTATCTCTAGCTTCTCTTTCGCTCATTGGTTTTTTTGGAATAGTATCAGGAGTGTCAACATTAACATCCACAACAAATCTATCCATTGGACCGCGCACTCCCCTATTGGAGTTGCTACCACCGCTTGATGAACCAACAATTGACTCTGTATTTCGGTAGTATGCACCACTATCAATGAGCTCCTCTCGATTTCTCATGTTCACCTGTTTTGTTTGTGTGGCCAAATTCAAAGTAGATAACATTTCTTG